CACAGAAATGAGTATGGTATATGAGAAAAACAAAAGAAAAGCATTAGCAGTTATTTGAAAGCTGACGATATTTTACACCTAAGTATTTTGTTATTTTAAGTTCAAATGTTAGACACTGGACCATCTCTACAATTTTCAGATAGGGTGGTTTCATGTGTAAAATGACATATCCAATAAACTAGCTTTAAAAATTGCAGATGACATACCTTCTGCCGTGGAAGAAAATTAAAATGCTGATTAAACTAAATCCTTGTCCCCTTCATTTTTAGGAGGATTTTCTCTGAAAATGAACTCATTTACGGCTGGTAAACTGAAGACTGATTTGAGTATCTTTAGAAACATTCTATTTTAGCAGTTATCATCCAAATAAGCATGGATATAACCTATGATCATTCAAATTATAATATGCTAGCATATTGGTAGAAATTTAGAAGTAATACCCTTTTCTCTCCAACTTACCCATAGTGAAAAAAGTAGCAATACATTCTCTATGTAAGGAAAAAAGCACACATATATTGGCAACATATATATGGACTATTCCGAAATCTCTGAAGGTTAATGTGGTAGACATTTGATAATATTTTTGTCTCAGAACTCACTCTGAATTATAATATCAAACCAAAGTTTTACAAAAGAAAGTTGGAAAACATTTTTAAATCTTCTCTTCACAAATTGAATTTTATCTGATGCTATTTATAAATAAGTAGATATGAACAAAGGGACACACATAGTTAATTGTGTTTAGAGTAGTCCCAAGAGGATCTCAGTGTCCCTGAATCTCTGTATTAATACTATACCTGGATATGTAAAATTCCCAACAATACATTTACACCCTGGTCTTTACCAGGGCCACACACTGTGTGTCTCTGGGAATACATCTTCAGAAGATCCTTTGAAAATGCAGGCATTATCTGTTACAGCAGTGACTAACCCAGAAGCAACCAATAATGCTGTTTTGAGGTCAGGTTTCTGTTTGGTTTTGTTTTTACCAAATTAGCTTGCTTCGAAGAGCAGGGTCCATTGGAAATGGTACACATAATTTGATGGGGCAATGGTAGGGGAAAAGGTCTGGCAAACAGGCTGTTATCCAAGGGAGACAGCAGTGCATAGAATAGCATTAAGTGAACTTCATACCAGAGGCTAAAGTGAGGACATTGCAATTGTGAAATTTAAAAATTCATAAAGCCTTCGGATAAAATAGGACAGGATATTTCATTAAACTTCTCTCTTGAAAGAGTAATAATTGGAATGAGTTTGCTTGTTTCTTCTTTCTCTTAAAAAGGAAAGTTAATATTTTTGGCAGAAGACTTAAGAGAATGGATTGCATAATTTCTTCACCTGATCAGCAGATTTTTATCAACCAGGGAATTATATTTTTAAAGTACTATTAATAAATCCCTTTAGCAAATTTTGGGGAAAAATATTATTCACAAAAATTGTATTTCTACCTTTTTTTTGTGAACTTACAAGGGATTTCAGAATATGTGCTATTTTGGGCAATTCATTAGCAGCAAAGAAAGCAGACTGAGGATGTAATACATTTCAAAATATGAAATGTGAGCTGTATAAATTAATTCCCTTGCTTGAGGACAGGATTTACTTCCTTTAACAGTTTACATTCCTATTCGTGGTGCTATTGACTAACGCTTCACAGTTTATTGGCATCTGCTCCATATAACAAAACCCATTATTGTGTACTATTTCAGAGGAGCTATAGACTTTCTTTTTGAAGAATCAAAGTACCTTAACATCAGTATTAGCTTAAAGAGATTACTTTGCTATGGTGAATTCTGCATCAGTTATTTCTTCTTTTTAATCAAAACAAAACACACACACACACTCACACGAACACATACTATATTAAATATCTCACTAGTATGCCATATTAAGATAAATAAAACTTCAAGTAAAATATTGTGTTTCTTAAACTTGTTATAAGTTCCTTTATTGTCCAAAAAGGAATACCTCACCAAAATATTATCTTGCAACATGATTTAGAGGGAGGTTTCAGGTTTAGTAGTAGAGCAGGTTGTTAATATTATTCGTAGTAAAAATAACTTTTAAACATTGACCAACAATATTGTTAGATTTTTGCATAAATAAACATACATTTTTAGTTATCACTATCCTTTGCATACATTAATTAAAATAACACGTAGCAAAATGTATTATTTGCCTTACTATTATTATTATTGCCTACAGTCATCCCAATTTTAAAATAAAGCCTATAGAGCTATAAATTTTGTTACCATGGAATTTGTAATTACTTCATCCTAGAGAGTAATTATGAGCAAAATATTCAATGATCAAAATAACAATGTTAATATGATTGGAGGAGAGAAATATTTAGTGTTAACTAGAAACAAACTTTTTTAAAAAAAAGCCTTTAAGGGCCTGGTGGCGCACTGGAGAGTGAGCCGCTTGGGAGTGTGGCGGCGCTCCCGCCGAGGGTTCGGATCCCATGTGGAGACCGGTTCCCGCTCACTGGCCCGTACAGCAGATCCTAAAGGGGTTGACTGGGGCCGGCCCGGTGGCGCACTGGAGAGTGTGCCGCTTGAGAGTGCGGTGGAGCTCCCGCCGGGGGTTCGGATCCCATGTGGTGACCGGTTCCCGCTCACTGGCTGAGCGCGGTATGGACACAACACCGAGGGTTGCGATCCCGTTACCAGTCAGTAAAAAGAGACAAAAAGGAAAAAAAAAAAAAAAAAAAAGCCTTTATGTATGTTGGCTAATAAATTTTTGCTAGGACTTACATCATTAACTATAAATAAAATCAGTTCCTGTAAAGAAATCTTCATTTGAATATATTTTAAAACAACTACTTATTACTACATATAATAAGAATCAATAAAACTATATTTAATTTTATTTTTTTATTAAATTTTTTTGTAACAGTTGAATGTACATATGTGTGGGGTACAGAGTTGAATATCAGTATTTGTGAGCAATATGTGATGCTCAAATCAGAATAATTATTCAATAATATACACTGTCATTGCTATTCATGGCCCTTTGTCAATTCTTCCTTCCCCCCTCCCTTCCCATTTCTAGTAACCTCAGTTCTCCTTTTGAAAGTTCAATGTATTATTGTGAATGTTGTATCTTTCTTTCTGCATAACTATTCTTTCCCTATACTATCAGTTATATCCCTTCTTAGTCTCATTTAATTTGAAAGTTTATTTCAGGGTTAGATCCACCCTGTAGATACTTAATCTGAGTTTACTCTTTAATTGTTGCTATGCAATCCTCTATTAAAGGGGCTTAGCAACACATGTCATGTGCAAAGAAATCAATTCTTTCTAGTTTATAAAAATGGTGCTTATTCCATCTCTATATTCTTATCTGTTAACAGGGCATGATAGGTCTACAATCAAAATGATAATTTATGAAGTGAAAAAATCAAGGACACCTTTGCTTAATGCATATTTGTTACTTATGATAACATTCTTATTAGAGATTGGCTCTGAGTTCCTTATAGAAGCAAATATAATCACAATTATGTATTTCTACCAGAAATTTCTACCAGAAATTATGAATTTCATTATGTCGTGTTGTACAAAGTAAATGAAAAGTAGATTAGCAATGCATGTTATGGGAGAATTTGTCATCGTCAGAACAAATGCTGATCACTTTTTATTCTAAGTATAAAATTGAAAATGGAGATAGCAGATGTTTAGGATTTTCTGAACTAGGTGACTCACAAGTCTCTAATATTTTTATATTGAAAACAGCTTTAATATCCAGCATCTACACTTGGAGAGAGAAAAATGTTGATGTTATGTTGTCATTGGTTTCATATGTTTAGCCTTAGATTATACGTTGATGTTTAATCCATACATTTCCTTTACTTGTTTTAACTTCTTATTTTTTTATTTTTACCTTTACTTGTGCATATTTGTGGGGTGCAATGTATTGTTTCAATACATGCATATACTGCACAAGAATTCATTTAGGGTAGGTAGCATAGTTTTGTACCCATTTTTGAAGTTTCAAAAATAAGAAATTAAAACACAATGATGGGGAAGCCATTTTGTTTTAAAGCCTAGATGCTTTATTTAAATTATGTATCCATGCAATCCACAATGCTCAAAGTAGCCTTTCAAAATTTCTAGTTTATATTACTTAATTTTATGTTTATTCTTATTTGGCCCATTTTCTTAATATTGGTTTATACCTATAGTTTATACCTAGTCTCTTTCACACACATGGTATGCTCTTTTGTCCCTACACACTTTTATGTATATAACACATATCTGGAACAAATGATAGCTTCTTGGAATTTCAAGAATCTTCTGAGATATGTATACCTTATCAAATTTTATATTTCCCAAAATTATAAGGAAGCAACGATGCTCACTACATGTTCAATATAATAAATTTAATGAAGTTTTCTGTTTAATATCAACTTCATGATCCTTTTTAAGAGTTCAACATCTTTGGAATTTACAAAACATAGCTTTCATGACTTCTGTCCGAAGTCCAAATCCAAATACCCTTCTAAGTAGTAGCATAGCATAAGAGTGCGATTTCAGTACATTATTGAAAACCTCAGACCAACTCTCCTATATTGGAGTCAGGATCTCTTATTTCCCCCAAAAGTGAACAACTGCCAATGGTTGTTACCTTTTAAAAATAGAAATAAAAACTAGAAAATAAATTATACCTACACAAATAAATTATAATGAATAAAATAAAACAGCTAATTATACACATTTAAATATATATGTATACATAAATGGAAAATCCTACCTGTGCCTAAACAAAATGACTATAATACATTTCATAATGAATTTCATTCAGAGTAGTTATGATCACACGTTTCAAATATTAGCAACTGCTGCATATATGCAATCCACTTAATTCTGTATGTTTGCCTTTTAAGAATGTGTTACTATTCATAGTAGCATAATAAATTCACCAATGTTATTATGGCTGTGATAGTCCGACTTGCAAACACAATAAACTCATTCATATTGAGGGTCTAGGGATGTACCACTTACTAGATTCAGGATCAGAGTTGCCATCCCCTTCAGTGCGGTTGTTGGGTGCGGCATGATCCAAGTACTCCTGAGGATAGCCAAGGGGCAAGGCATGGGAGGTGCTGGGAAGGCTGCCTGCATCATGGTCTCCCAGTCCACCATCACTGCTGCTTTCCTGAGAGCCTTCTGGTAGGTGAAATGTGACACGCCGCTGGGACTGAGAGGAAGAAAGAAAATTAGAGGGTTTCAGCTATGATCTGAATAATTGCTTAATGCATCCAATTTAGAAAATGTATTATTTCAGCTATCTGGTAAAGCCACATTAACAGGATCTTGAGTTGTGAACAATTTCAGGCTTTTGTGAACAGGCAGCTCTGTGTTCAAACCTGCTTCACCTGGCAGGAGAGTTGCTTCTACTGTATTTCTAAACAGGGCACATCCAGATGCAGAATGAAAGTCAACTTGTTCTAAAGCAAGAAGCTGCCAGCCTTCGTAGGCATTTGCACACATTGGAAATTCTCATCATTATTTGAGCACAGATTTATTTAGCTATTATTTGACAAGAATTCATGTTTTGAATAATAAGCATGGACAAATATAGCAAAATTTTATTGCTATAACTGTAAGATTCTGGTGGGCTGAAACAGTAAATAACACAAATTTATTCAATCATGTAAGCTTAGAAAATTAAAAATACAAATCATCTTTTAGAAGAATCTTAAGGGCAAGATTTTAAATTGAAATTCATTTAAATTGATTCTACACTCAAAAATACTTACATGGTATGAATAACAGTTGATGGCACTCATAAAAAAAAAACTATATGTATCATTGTAAATGGTAATTATAGCAGAACATGAAAAATATATACAAGTCAAAATATAGAGATGAAGCATTTGGTTTCCAAAACAAGAGATTCATGACATCAGGTAAGGGTAATATCTCCACCGGATGCAGCAACATTTTTGTTTGCAGCACTGCTATAAATACTAGCTAGTCTCCAAAGATAACCTCCTCAATGGATCTCACCTCTTGGTATTCAGACTCTTACGTAGGCCCTAAACACACCAAATCTGTGCAGGCCCCGTGTAATCAAACCTTGATGTTTCTCCCGTGCTCCCTTGTAGTACTCACTCTGGGGGTAACCAGCTACATGGAAAGAAGTTTGACTACTGGGAAACTGCCATACTTTGAGGATGTTCAAGGTAGTCATGTGGAAAGACTGCATAAAAAGACAGTACAATAACCAGAGAGGCCCAGCATTCAGTCACTCCAGTTCAGGTGCCAGACATGTATGTGAAGAACCCATTATGGACATTCCAGCTGATGGTCTCACTGAAGCCATCCCAGCCATCTCCAGACATTTGAGCCACCCTATTTAAGACACCAGTCATTGTGGAGCAGAGATAGCAATCTCTGCTGTGCACTATCCAAATTCCTGACCTAAAAAATGAGAAGGATAATTGTTTATGTCCCCAAAGATTAGGAATAGTTTACAATGTAACAAGAGATCAACCAAAACATTAAACAACTGGCAGCATGAAAGATGCAAATTAGAGATAGTTATTTAAGAGATTTACATACATCAAAGGTCACATGAATTTAGGTACTAGGCATTTCCATGACAGAATGTATATACTTTTGTAAATTCAGATTTGACAGCAATTTCTTCAGATGGACATATGAAAACATTTGAATATCATACTTCAATCTGAAAAGAAGAAATAATGTGGAATTATGACAGATGTATATAATATTTAAGTAGCTAACTTGAATCCTCTTTAATTTTATAGCTATTATCTGTATATTGAAGTCTCAATAAAATATGAAGAAACGACTAATATATGTAATATATAATATAATATATTTTGTGGGATATGTTTATAATCATAGAAACACTCATTTTAATAAGAAAGAGGCTGCTGGTTTTCTAAATGTCAGTGTTATAGCCAGCCAGGATCCCTTTGGGCCTGTTAAGGGGATTCACTGGTGGTGTTGGTTGAGGTAATTCTTAACAGAATTAGTCTGGGCACAAAATAGACTGAATAAAAGAAAAACTTGCTGGAACAGAGTAATATTGGGGAGTTCAGAAGGCAGATTTGGTCTTGTTTTGCTGATGCATGTGTTGGGTCTCAAGGAAGCTGTGGAGAGTGACACTAATTGTATTATATGATTAAACTACAATGTAACTTCCAGAATTTAAAGCATTGTTCAGGGAAATGATATAGCTGAAATCTTTTTTTCTGTGCTTTTGCCTACTCAATATCACTCTTTCTGTTAGTCTTTGTATCTAGAACCAGTGGTGAAAAGAGCAAAACAAAAGGCGAGGTCGTCTTCTGATCACCTCTGTTATACAGACAAAATCTCAATGTCACGCTGATTTTGTCATTTAGATCCATCAGTCACACAAGCATTTCATCACGTAAGAGGGCATTAAAATACATGGATTACCCAGCCTGTTGGTCACCCTGTTGTTTATTAGTACTAAAGATATTTAGTAGGGGTCCACAGAAATAAACATCAATGCTGTCTTCTTCAAAAGCAGAGTTTCATAAAAGTTTGGAAAAAATTTAGCTGCTTAGAGTTTAAAGTTTAAAAGTACTAAATAAGCCTTTGCATTCTAACAAATAAATTAACTAAAATATTGTCAATAACTTGACAATGGATGTGTAAAGAAGTTCTTAATACAAAAATTGCATACAATTTATTTACAGTTTTGAGAATGATCAAATATTGTCTTTTAGGTCCCCTCTTTCAACCACTTAGTTGTAAACCATCTAGTTGTAATTCCAAAAATTATTTATCATTGTTAATATATTTTTAGCCATTTCAGGTAAAATAGACGCATTTATACTCATAAACCATTTAAAAATGCAAGACCTGTAAAAATAGCCGCATTTAAAAATGCCTGAAACAGACTGTGGAAATTTACCTACAATTGGCTATAGTATATAACTTAAAATCAAAATAATGCTTAATGCATAGATCAAAAATCACTGTATGTAAAATAAGCCAGTTCAGCATGAGACTAATTTATAATCATTTCCACCACAATGCATAACTGTTAAGGGATATTTTAATTTCCTATTAAGACACAAGTAATATATTTTAAGTACTGTAGATTATGGATACATGATATATGTATTATGTGCATGTGTTGTGTGTGTGCGATATATTTTTATTATTTAAAGTTGTTTAAAGTGTTAGACTTGGAATCTATGAATAAGAAAACACTGCTGACAAAAACAAACAAATCTAGAATTTAACTTGTGCTGGTTAACCATGCAGTCATATATTCTAAGAGAGTTGAAATTGCCAGTGTATAGCAGGTAAGGTTGTGTCAAATGATAGAAGTAGGGCCTAAGCAGGTTACTTTTCGATGTAAGGGAGATGAAATTTTGTGTTCACTTGCTTATGTATACAGATAATAGTAAGGCAATTTAAGTAAAAGAGATATTATCCCATGTTAGGACACCATGCAATAACTTACTAAAAGCCATTGCAAAGGAATGCCCTAGAATGAATCTGGAATTAGCCTGGCCATGTGATCTCCTCCATCCTCTTGACACCCATAAATTAAATTCCCTTAGGGGTAAATAAGAGAGGACGTGTAAGTTTTTAATGACCCCCTTTAGTAAACACAACTCACTGCTTTTTGTCCCATCCTGAATGCACATAAATATACCACCAGCGAGCGCCACCACCACCTTGTTCCTGAAATGTAGTTCTTACATTTGACTTATTCACATTTACATTTTGAGGGCTCAATTGTAAAACACACATATTAATAAACTCTCTTGTTTATATTAGTTTATATTATTGATTATCAGAATGCCTCAAGTGTAGACCATAGTGTTTTTGGTCATAAGGGGCCTTATATCATGGTAAAATAGTCTAATATTCAACCACATACTACGGATTTGATTTCTTTCTCAATTCTCATTTTCAAAATTTACAGTCTGAAACACTGTTTTACTTATTTCTGTACTCCATAGCAAGCAAGCAAACTATATCCAATCAGTTAAATGCAGTATTCTATTTCTTTATTCAGTAAACTTAGAGGAGGCTCTATATTTGTACATATATGATTAGTTTGGTTGTCCATTGTTTTATAAAATCTCCACGAAATATTTTAAGTGAAATTGTTAGAACGTAATTTTTAAGGAATTATTTTAGAGGTTTCCCAAAATGTAACTTTTGGTGGGATAGGAGCATTTAGTTATTGTTTTCCTACTGTTACTTTAATGATTATTACTTGAGGTTGCACTTTGCAATCTGTGACATTTCCAGATAGAACTGAACAAAAAACAATTATATGAACTGCATATGAAAAACAATTATATGAACCCAGTTCTGGAAACTGGGTTTAACTCACTTGGCCTTAACATTTTAGTGGATGACTCCTTAATCTCTGATGGCACTTTCCTGCTCAGATTCATAATACGGGGGTATTCAAAATACAGAGGTATTTTTCTTATACAGTATATATGGAAGTATTAACTATTTCAAGAAAATCATTCCTTAGGTTTCTCAGAGAGAAAGATAAATCATTTTCTTTTTTTTCACATGTTGAAGAAGATTACTGTGTAATATAAAATGGCTATTACTTTAATGACCATATCATAATTTGTCTGTCGGCAGCCCTTCAAGGAAGCTGTGGCATATAATTAAAACAAATCTACTGACTGTAATGGTGACTTATGGGAGGGAAATAAATCCTGGATTTTTCATGAGTAAATGTCTGCCCTGAATGGCTAGTTATTTTATGCCAGTAACAGAGAGAATTAACACAAGATGCCTCTCCCTAAAACCTACAAGACTCGTTTTTAGCTCACATCAATCAAAATTCCAGAACGTATAAACACTCAAAAATTATACTGGTGTCACACAGATGAATAATTTACAGGCAAAATATCAAATCCCCAACATTCTTGTGTCCATTATACCTCATGAAGGCATAATTCCATACTAAACATCAGGTGAATATCATTGTTACATTTCCATAACATGATGCAAGTGGCATTTTAGAAAGGTTAATCTGGTGCCAGAGACGCTGCATGCAGATATGCTGGCCCGTGATTCTCATTTCGGAGTGTTTGAGTTTCATGTTCTTGAAGGCTCATTAAAATTACCTGTCAAAGTTTTCAAACTTATCATACAATCTTGCACTCCCACAGACTCCAATTCTCATACATACACCCTGACCTGGCCTTCCTT